CGTGTTCATAGTAGATCTTCGACGACTGTAAAATGTGACTTTGGAGCTGTCCTGATTAATATTGGCTATATAAAGTGTGTTTCAATACTTCATCAAGTGTCATCGTTATTCATTCGAAATCTTCGAACCCCATACGAACGTGAAGGAAGAAAATAACGTAACAACTGGTGTAAAAAAAAAACCTAACAATATATTTTATATGCATGAGCCGCACAAATTGCCTGCGAGAGCCATATCAGGCTCGCGAGCCGCACTTTGGCCATCCCTGATATATGCAATCAAATGATTTAGAGAATAGCTGCAATGGATTGCCGATGGATGGTTTTTTGCACTATAATAACTTGGAGAGGCTTTACTGCTCAGTTAGAAGGATGACATTCAAAGATACACACAACTGTTATTCATACCACAGAACTGTATTTTCTTGAAGAATAATTTCTTAGGACACATATTCTTGAATAACACACTGTGGATGTGACAAGCACCCCACCATACATACATACACTGCTTACATTTTTAAACAATAGAATATACCTCTAATCGAAGAGACATCCTAGCAAAGCAAAAGCAAGTAGAAAGAATGTGCACCTCAGCAGGGACTATATACCAGCCAAGAGCTATATGCAATGCATATGACATTCATGCAAGTTAGTTTTTCAGTGGTGAAGTGTAAAAAAGTTATTACAGTAAAAGTCTGAGATCCGGACTCCGCGGGAATTCTGATGATTTCAGATTTAGGATTTTTTCAGAATATTAGATTATCAGTTTAAATCTGGTATGATGGCTATGTAGAAATTATAAAATTAAAAATATGAAATTGTGACTTATGATATAATGAAGCATTTGTGATGTAAAGGGTGTTAAAAATTCATACACACAGAAAAAAAAATATTTGTTTACTTTATTAACTTTTCTTTCAATGTTAAGTTGTTTAAGTTCCTCAGTTTTTTTTTTTTTTTTTTTTTTTTTTTTTTTTTTTTTTGTGTGTGTGTGTGTGTGCTAATACTCTTTTTTTAATTCCATAAAAAGACAATTTCTTGTTCAGTTACATAGTTCCATTTTTCAAGTTCTGTAATTGCTGTGCCGAGAATTCCGAATAACTTGTCATCAAATTTTTTTCGTTTTCGGTAACCTATCTGTCACTTTCTTTACTATTGGTAGCGGTATATTCTGGATTCAAAACCATATTACAAACTTCGCTGTCTGTTAACTGACTGATGATTTGGGCATTGTCATTGCAATGAAAAAATTCTCTTATATCATCTTCATTTATTACTGCTTCTCCACATTTCTTTACAAAATCCATTAATTGGAAAAATTTCACCTTTAATTTGTGATAGCCGAATACCTTCAATTTCGTTGCTATCACTTTCAGCATCCTCATCATGAAATGTGGTAGCTGACCGTTAATTATGCCAAGCATTTTTTAAAGCATCTGGAGAGGCATCCTCTCATAAGCTTGTGATGCTCCGTACAGTAGATTTTATGCTAAAATATTAAAAAGATTCTTGAATAGTCTTGCCAGTATTCAAGAAATTTAACATGGGTTTTAAAAATGCTACTTTACATTTGCATTTCAGCACACGCACTATTCGGCATCCATAAGCTGAATGATGGAGGTATAATTTTGAGGAAAGAATAATATGGGTACATTATCTTTCAATAACCCGCGAGCATGCGCACTGGGTCCAATGGACCCGCCCGATTAAAGAAACATTTCTAAATACGTCCCTATTTTTCCCAAGCGGTTGTGGTTAAGTGTAGTCTAAATCCAAGGCCCTCGTCTTTATGTTTCCGAAGGTTTTTTTATTCCGAAAGTTTCCGAAGGAAATTTGATTCAAAGTTTTGTTTTGACAGGATCAGGTCTTTTGGATCCAGCGCGCCTATTCACATTCTGTAACGTAGTTCATTTGTGGTAGCACAGAAAGCTTCAAATATGTCACGTAATTTATCCTATAAGAAAGAAATGTTACATTTGCAAAGATTATTAGATGTATGAACTGTTGAAGACTCCATTGAAGAAACTGATAATGAAAGTTATTATGAATTATTTAGTTCTCATTATACTGGTTCAGAAATCAAGATGCATTCTGAAAACGAAAATGAGAATGACATTTATTGCTTTATTGGAAAAGACTTAAAAAAAAAGTTCAAAAGAAAAGCCTAGAGCTGATGTTAAAACTCCTACTCATAATATTATTACTAAATTGCCTGGAAACATCAGTAAGGCAAAATATGTTCAAACTCCAAATGAATTGTGGGAACTTTCACTGAGTGAACAAATGTTGCTGAAAGTCGTCAGGCATACAAATATTTATATTGCATCTATTTCTGACAGCTTTCAAGAGAGAGAGAGATGCTCATCACACAACGTTAATTAAAATTCCTGCTTTTATACGTCTTTTATATTTTTGTGACATAAGTCATCTTCATGTGAATGTGCAGGATCTATGAGTAACAGAAGGAACCGCCTGGGAAATTTTCTACAAAACTATGTCTTAGAAACATTTTCTTTTTAAGATGTTTGTGTTTTGATGATATAGAGACTCACGTCATCAAGAAAGAATCAGATAAACTTGCACCTATAAGAGAGTTTTTTGAAGAGTTTGTGAATAACTGCCAGAAATATTACACTGTCGGTGAGCTCATAACAATTGATGAAAAACTTGAAGAAGAAGGAGGAAGATGTTCTTCCACGCACCTAATAAACCTAAATAATAATTTCTGAATAGGATGAATAATAATATAATAAATTCCTAATAAAGTCTTTATTAATATAATATGTTTTTCTATTCCTTTAAAATATTTTATTTCATAAAAAATATTATAGAAATTGAAATAAAATTTTAACTTTTAAATTTGCATATTTTTAAAGTTTGATCATAATATTTTGGTATAAATGTAACACTTTTACACACACACAGTAACACACACACAGTTTTTTCTTCAAAAAACACGAACCGGGTTTTTTGGACCCAGGGCGAGTGTTCTTGTAATTCAAAAGAGCGTGTGTGCTCCCGGGTTAAAATTTTAACTGAAGTATGAGCTGAACAGTTGTCTACGAGGGCAACTTTTGTGTCATCAGATAAATCAACCGAATTTAAATATTGCTGAGTCACAGGTTTAAAATGATTTTCAAAATCATTCATTAATGCTTGCTTCATCCATGCTCTTTTATTTGCATGATATATAATGGGGAAATTCTTTACTCCTTTAAATGTTCGAAATCGTGTATTTTTTTCGATTACGAAAAATGTACACTTGTGCATTCCTGCAGCATTTGCTCATGCTAAAATTGTTAGTCTCACTTTGGAATCTTTGACACCAGTTGGAGCCTTTTCTGTAAATGTTGCCAAGGTATTTCGCAGTACATATTACCAGAAAAGACCAATTTCATCAGCGTTGTAAATTTGTTCTAGAGATAATTTTTCACTATTAATGAAACAAGTGAATTCATCTGCAAATAGTTCAGCAGCTTCAATATCAGCTGAAGCTTTTTCACCTGGAATTTTTAATTGTCTCACACCATGGCGATTTTTAAATTTGGTTAACCAACCAGTCGAATATGTGCACTCAGTCTAAGTTCATTTCTTCATGAAATATTTTGGCTTGAACCCTACCACTATACTCATCCACCCTCGCTGTGAGACTGTATGATTCATTCAATCATCATTTTGTCATGATCATCATTTCTAGCATAACGAATAATTTTCCTGTTATTCATTGCAAATGGGGTTTCGGAATCAGAAAAAATTCAAAAAGTTCATTTTTCTGTTTTCTTATGTCATATACAGTTGACTTTTCAATGCCATATTCCTTGCATAATTTCGAGACAGATATATGGATTCATTTTTTGCAGTAATTTCACTTCTTGTTTAATGGACATCGAAACATGCTTTTAGAATCCTACTGTAGCTCCAAAATGATCAACTCTTTTCGATTCCAAAAATGTTGTCTTCCCTAAATTCTGCTGCTCAATGTGGCCATATGAGCTCTGGTGTCGGTTTTGGGTTAATGTGAACAACAAATCAGTTATTCTTAACTCAAATACCACTGAATGTAATCTTTTGTCCATATTATTAACAAAATATCATTAACAAAATTTGTTTTTAGCGTATGGAAAGAAATTTTTGTTAAATTATTCCTCATCAACATTTCTTCGCTCACTTAACATTTAACTTAAATCTGTAATCATCACCAAGCGTAATGTCAACATAAAAGATTACCATAATCTCTTCTATTCAATTACTAATGTAAAAAAAAATTGTTTAGGTATCACTGCATGAATCATTATTTGTCATGTGTTGATAAACATGCCGTGATGAAAGCAAAATGTAATAAATAATGATTCGCCAGTTTGGCGACATGGATATAAAATAAGATACTCAGCTATGGAACCAAATTATTAATCACACAAATTTACGCTAAAATGATTGCTTCTTCAATAATGAGGTATTTTATTTAATACTGAAGTGAATCGGAACTCTCCACATATTTTATTATGGGGGGTGGGGGGTCAAATGCAAATGCCAAAAGTATACTAAAAATTAAAAAAAAATTCTTTACAAAAAAAATTTTGTTGGTGGCTTTTGAGGTATAGATTTTAGATCATCCCAGATATTGGATGTCCATATCTTAGACTTTGTACTGTACTATATCTAAAATAGAGAAACGATGCACCCAAATTAAAAAGAGGAATTAAAAGGCTATTGCTAATTTAAATTATAATTTATATTTACATATTTTTCTATTTTACAGACACAAACAAACATATATGCACATACATACATATCAATATGAATAAATTTTAAATCAGTTATGTATTAAATGAATAATTAACAAGATTATAAAAAAATACAAAACTTTTTTCCCTTAATAAAAAGGAATAAATTTTGTCAATAGTTAGCAGAAAGTTTGCACTTTACTCTAATTTTTAATATGCTGAAAATTAATAATAGCAATGCAATTGGAAACAATAACATATGACATCTTAATCTTACAGGGTCAGAACAGCCAAATTCATTCTCTTTCAGATGAATAGGAATTGATTTTAGATAAGGAATCAACCACGATGGCTCCACCATCAATCCAACAACTAAATTAAAAAGAATTTAAATAATCAGATTTACCAAAATATTAAATATATATATTACATAGATCTGCCCCACACGTACCACATATTTATCCTTAAAATTATATTTAAAAGCAGCTGATCTTTTAGCATTGTTTTAATAAGATTAAAGAAAAGTGTTTTAGAGAAACTGTTCACAATGTAAACATGATCATCCATACTCCGCCAATATTTTTATATCTTGTATTTCCTTTAAATATTAGTCTTACAAAGTTTCTGAATTTGAATTTTTGGATTCCCTTTATTTGAATTTAGCATAGGCATTCTCAGTGTTGACGAGAGTGCTTTTTAAACTTTCAGCAAACTCTTTACATAACAATTAATTTAAATTTATAGATATCATTGCTTGGTTTAAAAAATGGACTATATTTTAAATTTCTTTTAAATTGCTCAATGTGATTTTTTATAGCTTAATTTATCAATACTTGGTATTTCAAATTTAGTTAAAACAGTTAATTTTTAGAATTCTAAACTGTTAAATTTCATAATTAAATTAATTTTTGTATAAATATACGAAATCATTTTTAATTCCCATTGATGGGATGTGGACGCTTACACAAACTTAAAGTGAATAATTTTTACAATAAATAACCTAATATTAATTTCAGACATAATTCTAATTTGAAAATCAAATTATAGCTTGATGTTCACAAGGTTTGGTCAAAATACATTTTTTTCAACCATAAATGTAATTTAAAGTATTTTGTAAAACATATTGTGTAAAATTTCATTTGTTGTTGTTTCATTGTGTATTTAGTGACATACTTGTCATTAAATATTTCAAAATAGCATATGTGTTATTAAGCAAAAAAAAAAAATTCAACTTTTTTTTTTTTTTTTTTTTTTTTTTTTTAAGCCGAAGGGGTGTTAACTCAGAAAGGCTATTAATTTCATTTTGGCATTTTGCATTGAAAACTTTAAATGTTGGTTCACACTGTTGCCTCCAAATATTAGAACCCAGTATTATATTTAAAGAAATTAAATAATGAAGAATCTCTTTAAATGTATGTATGTTTCTCACATTGTGATAAAACGACGGAGCCTAGAGCCATCAAATTTTGAATAACGTAGGTTTCCACATGAATATGGGCATCTGGAAGTTTAAATTTAGAATTTGTTTTATTATCTATTTCATATTTTGTAGAACTTTAATGAATTTTTTGCTAACAAACTCAACGATTTCAAAACGAGCAATGGCAATGCTGTATGGGGGGGAAAACATTTTTATCTCCATCGTGCGAGACTGTGCATCGGAAATTCTAAAGATATGCTCGTTTAAAAATTATTTTATGATATTGCTGTTGAACTGAATTTTATGGTTTAAGTGCGAAGAACATGATATTTAATAAATAAAGGTTACCCACAAAAAAAAAAGCCCCTTTGGGCATAATATAAAATCTGAAGGCTTTCAGATTTTTTTTATACAGTAACTTTAGGGAAAATACCAGCTGTTTTTGCGGATGTCATGAAGTGGAAGGAGAGTAATTTGAGTTACAGGTGCCATTTAAACTAAACAAATATACTGTGAAGAAAGTATCCTTTTGGCTTCTTCAGAGAAAGAATGCTTTCTGTATACCTCAATGAGCAATTGCTTTGAGCTGCAGGGGCAGTGGCACTCAGAGGAATAGATGCTGTCTTGTAAGAAAAATCTCTGTTGCACACGAATTGCCAAACATCCAAGAGAATAAAAATTATGAACAAAAATTAATTAGAAGATATTATAATTTTTTCGGTCGGAGTTGCCAACTTAGAGAAAAATTCCCTATTTATTCAGCAAAATGGCATTTTAGGGTTGGATAGATTTGGTGTGTTATGAAAACCAAATGCAGACAGATTGTCTACTACACTTATTGTTTTCTTAAGAAATGTTTTGTCATGTGCAGAGACTTGTGCATACTCTGTGAATATGAGCAAAATCCAATATTCATCTTTTCATCTTTTCTTGTGGAGGAAGTAAAAACAAAACTTGAGGTTGATAATTTTAGTTGCTGTGCAGTTACAATCAGTTTGAAAAAATTGTGGAGCGACTGAAATTCAAGAATTAAGATTAAGTGATGTGTGGCTGCTTCTGAAAATGGCTTCCAATTAATAATTAAATCAGGAATTAAGTAGGAAAGATATGGTCAGAAATGGGCTTTATCCTTTTCCCCCCCCTCCCATCTTTTTTTACGAGGATAGTAAAAGGTGGTAAAAAATGGTAAATAGGGAGTAATAAAAAAGGAAGAAGAAATTTTAACAGGTGTTCTCAGGAGTTTAGCAAAACGATGATGAAGAAAGAAGTACAGATGATAAGTGACAGAATGGTGTGTTGAAATGGAAGACAGAGACCGTAGTTGTGCTGTGATGATTCTCATGAATGCGACAGATGAAGGAAAATTTATGGAAGATGTATCGGCGTCACATACAATCAGCGGAATCGAATTATTTAAAGTAGGAGGAAATGTGTGAATATGCAATCACGTGACAATCAGTTCTGTATTCATGTTTCAACATGTTGAGCATAATGTAAAATGATGTTAACCCAATGAATATCAACAGAAACTTTGTTCGAGACTATTATTCAATGGGAAAAGGAAGGAAAAGGGTATCAGCCAGTAAATTCCAGATATAGCAGTTTAGAATATAAATATCCGTCTACAAAGTTTGTGTGATAATCCATGAACAGTGTTTCTATCTGTTGGACACAGTGAAATACCATTTTTTTTATCTAATGAATAATAATCAACTTAAATAAAGCTGGAAACTGATAAATGGTATGTGCTCATGGAGAAGGACATAGGCATCTAAATTCCCACACTTAAGAAGCTATGACTTCTCACTACTGTGATTGCATGATAATTAGTGTGTGATACTTGTTAGTTACCAATGCAGAACTTTATCACGGTAAGAAGTGCAAAATTTTAGACATGAATATTATGCATAAATCTGTAGTTCCTGTTGATTATCAGCTCATGTAAGCACTCTTTACCCACTTATTACATGTAGACATGATTTTGTAAAACTGACTGTTAACTAATCAGTGGATACAGAGGAGTTTAGTTCCAAGATTAGGAAAAATTCATTATTTGTATGTTTATTGCAGAATATGTATGTTAACCTGAAACTTGAGGAAATCTTAAAATTGAATTATGGAAACGTATATGTATGTATTTATCAGTTTGCTATCTTAGAGCATAAGGAGTTTTAAATTCTTTTATTATTTGAACCTGGCTTGTAGTGTTCGTAGATATACTTAAGTGTTAAATAGTTCATTTGGAAGTAAGATTTGTCATCAATTTTGTACATGATAACTAAGCAGTTTATTATTATCCTATACAACATTTTTAAATAATGTATTAATACCTGAAAATTTAAGTTTTAAGAATCACAAACAAAATCTCAAACAATTATAGCATACCAGCTGGTTTGTAGACAATACCACTTCGAGAAAAGGTTATAGTTTTTGCAATTGTTATGACAGGATCACTTGCATCAGAAAATGAATCATCTAAAATAAAAGTATATGATCAGTAGTAAAATTTAAAAGATAAACATAAAGCTTATTAATAACACTGAAATAATTTCTTAAAGCAACATAAAGCAGACCTGTGAGATTCCGATTAATAACAAATTAATGCAAAGTTCTTATTATTAAAAATAATAATAGATAATGAATTAACTGCTCCACTATCACAATATGCATAATAAATATATTTTTTAATTTGAACATTTTCTAACGCAATATGAATTAAAAAAATTTTAGTATCTGTAATTAAAATTTTTTTAGTATTGAAAGTATCTGTAATTAGAGCATGGAATGCTTCTGTGTTTAAAATTTTCAAATGATTTTAATGTGTTAATAAATTCATTAGCTTGCAGTTGACCATATAAAGGTAAGAAATTATATCTGCAGTTCTCTCACAATTGACAATCTAATAGACAATCGATTGACAATCAATTGACAATCTGATAGTTGAGCCATTAAGAGGTGTCAGACAGCATGCTCTGGCATTACAAAAGACATAATTTCACAACCAACGTCACAGAAATTTAGCGATCTCATCTAGTGTGTCATTAAAGCATCAACATTTCATAGGGCTCATCACAAATGATTCTGAAGTTTTTCTGATATCATTTTCAACTATAATGAATTAGAAGATGTGAAATACAAAACAGAAATTTCAGCACGGCTGTTTGAAAAATGCCAACTTCTGTGGGCACTCTCTCTCGGTCTGTATTTTTTTAAATAATGATGTGTTAAAAACTGCAGTTAAAAGAAATCCATATACAGCTATTGAAGAGTTGGCAAAGGAGGTTAATTCATCACCATCAGCTGTTCACTGAAGGTAATTGTCTTCAACATTTGATGGAACTTGAGTCAGTACTTAATTTGGCATGCGTGTTCTACACAAACTTAACTGATGCTAATCAAAGACAGCATATGAACATCCACACTGTTCTTCACTCAATAAAGCTTCCCTTTTTAGAAGCATTTAGTGATTGGTGATGAAAAGCGACTGGTGGTCCATAGCTTGCAAAATCTCCTCAATAGAAAAGTATGCAATTCCCACAGGACATCTGAAATGCACTATCAAGATATTTCCTCTAATAAGTTGGCTTATTTCTTAAGGAGTGGCATAAAAAACCTATTATAACATCAGAAGAATGCTTAAAATGACTAGATTAGGAATATATAATTGATTTAAAATCTTGCCCATTTCTATATTTCTTCAAAACCTTCTTAAAAAATTGGCATTACTTACAGCATGACAAAGACAACAGCAGCCAGGAAAAATGAAAACTTGAGTCATAAGGAAGTTATATTAGGCTTAACTATGTAGCTCCCTCAGCATCTCTTACATTACTAGAATACCTTATTGATTCACAAGACCAACATTCACCATGGATTAGTTAATTTAAGATATATGTTAATTTAAGATTCACTAATTTAAGAAAAATGAAGATGGAAATTCTTTGGATATAAAGAACTGAGCATTAATATTACACTGTGTAAGTACTACTGTCAATAAATGTCATTACATACTGAAAACTACAGATGAAATTTTTAAGTTAATATTGGATACTTTAGAATCCTACTTCATTCCAAGAAGAAATGTGGTACCTAAATGCTCTGTTTTGCTATGCTATCTTTCTTATGCTACCTCAAGAAATGTTCAGGGCATAGCACAAGAAAAGACATATACTTTCGGTTCACATATAGATGAAGTAACATGTGACTGTCAACTGGATGTAGGGTATTTGATTATCCCATAAGCAGAAGATTATAGGTTAAGCTTGATTTAGTATAAAGAAAAGTATATGAATTAATTCCACAAATTAAATCAGAGGTTACAAAATCAAGAGTACCAAGTGATTCAGATAGCACAAAAAAATGCTAACAAAATGAATGACATTAAAAAAACTGGAAATTTACAAACAAATGAAAAAACAAACAAATAAAATGCTATCACCACATTTCTGATAAAATTTTATTGACAACATTTTATGCAAAGTTAAAAATGTGGGCTATCCATCACATTGGAGATGGAATTATTTTTCTAAAATATGAAGCTCATCATGGTTAAGAACAAAGTTATTATTGAAGTAAATATTTCTTTATAAAATAAAATAAATCATCTATTCTTATAACCACTAACAAAAAAATAGCATAATATTTCACTTTACATAAACAAGAGGTGGCGGATTCATTCATTTCAATTGGGACAATTCAATTCCTTTGGAAAGAAGAAAACATTTTGCTTGATTCCTCATCTTAGAAAAAACTACTCATAGTTGGTTGCTTATCAGCTATAGTATCTGTAATGGCTTTACAGTTATAAAAGGCACCATTTGACAAAGGAAGGAGTATTTATTAAAATAACATTAAAACATATAATTCAGAGCATTCAGAGCAGAATATCACTCCTACAATATACAACATCTAGTGAGCATCTTGCTCCTCACTGGCAAACATAGAACTCCCTTAAACCTAGCAACTTCTCAGGAGAAGAAGGAAAACATGCCAAGCGTGGCTTTTGATTACCAAACAGTCACCAGATACTACAGTATCTTATGAAATACTACAAAAGAAGAAGAAGATATGCTTACTCAAAAGGGGAATCCTATAGTAGGAAATTACTTGTGAAAAAAGATATTCATATTAATTTAAAACACAACCACGCCTAAAGCAAGAGAGTAAAACAAACAAAAAATACTAATATCACATAAAAAGATCTGTTTAAATATTTAAATTGGAAGTTGAAGGACTGTCACTAAAAGAATAGATTCATCTGAAAACTTTTCACATACTGTAGCAAACAAACAAAAAACCAAAAAATGAGAAAATGTCTAGAACAGCACGAACCAAACGAACCTGAAACAGATTGTTTTCCTCTGCAGCTGATGATATGAACATTTAAAAAGCACTGTTATTTTTTATTTTAAACTTAAAAGCTGCATATTATCAACAATACTACATAAATATTGACAACTGCGCAGTAGCATATTTATTACTCATTCAGGCTTATTTCTATTACCACTATTCAAATCTTAGTTTAACACTAGAAGCGCCACAGCAGTCATTTTGACTGCTTTTGTCATTTCACCTTGAATCCTAAAAAACTCTTTACCTTAAAATATCACAAATTTTTGGATTTTCCTAAAAAACCTCAAAAATTATTGGTACCAAATATGAATTGAATAAAATTAAAATTAACAAAAATAATATTAGCTATACCTAAAAGCGCCACAAGCAGTCATATTGACTGCTAGTAATGCTGGGTAGATTTATCTCGTTATCTCGTTCAAAAAACATCTGACGTACACATTCCTTTCATTCATTGATTATTTACAACAGGTTATAGTTCCCTTCACTCAGAAAACATCTTTCTTTGTGGACTGTGACATTTACTTCACAAACTACAGCTGGGCTATATAGAGCTCAAAATGTGCTAAAAGAATTGCCGGGTCCAACATCTTATGCAAAAAGAAAAAGAAATTTCGAGGATAAAATGTCGAACGCTTGGAGGTTGTTCATGGAAGAATCACTGTTACGCCATATTAAAAAGTGTACGGAAGAAGATGTAGTTTTGAGCAATGAAGAAATTTGAGCAATATCTTTAGAAACATTAGATACTTTTGTTGCTATTATTTATGCAAGAGATTAGAGATTTATGCACAGAAGCAGAGGTAGTTTTGAACAATGAAGAAATTTGGACAATATCTTTAGAAATGCTTGACGCTTTTGTTGCTATTATTATATGATTGCAATGATTTGGATTATTAATTTTTGTGTGTGTGTGTGTGTGGACTAATACATTTGGGTCCTCCTTTCTGAGAAACAATGTTTTCTAATCGTTTTTGAGACATTATGAAATATCCAAGATTTGACATGAAGTCAACAAAGACTCAGCTTTTAGAAAGTGATAATTTTGCACATTTTTCAAGAGATATGGAAAAAAATTATACAGAACTGTGCAATTTCCTATAAGCCAGGAGAAAATCTAATTGTGGATGAGCAGTTATTTCCATCAAAGCCAGGTGTAAGTTTATACAGTGTATGTCAAACATAAAAAACAAATTCAGTATCAAATTTTGGATGCTAGTCGAGGTAGACTCAAAGTTTATACGCAATTCTTTTCCATATCTTGGAAAAGATACATAGAGAAGTGAAACTGAAAGTCTTCCTGAAAATGTAGTAATGTGTCTTCTCAGCTGTCATCTGAATTCAGGTAGAAATTTGACTGCGGACAATTATTTTTCCTCACTATCATTAGCTAAAAGACTTAAATGAAAAACACAAGTTTTGTGGGCACAAAGAAGACATCGAAAAAAAATTCCACATGAAGTAAGGAAATCAAAAACCCAAATATTTGAAACAGTTTCGATAAAGAATGGTGAAACTAAGCTGACAGTTTATCATGGAAAAAGGAATAAAAAACATTCTACAACTAAGTACCTCACATCCAAATATAAATGCAGACTCACAAAATAAAAAGAAACTTCTAGAAAAAGTAGAGTTCTACAACAAAACCAAATGCGGAGAGTATCCTTGACCAGATGATGCGCAACTATTCTATTTGGACTGCTTCACGTAGAAAGCCTGTGCATATTCTATATTTTCTATAGTACGCTGGAATTAACAGGAATGAATGCCTACGTTATCTACCATAAAATGAATGAAAAAACATTACAAGGTACAGCTTCCTATTTCAATTAGCAGAAGAGCTAAGAGAGCTTCATTTAAAAAGAAGAAAAAGCACAAGATTGCTCCAGGAAATTTTCAACTCTGCAATAGACTCTCGAAGAAAAGACGTCAGTGCCGGATTGGACTTTGTAACAAAACCAGTGATGTGTGTAAAACATTTTCCTATTATGTGTGTGGAAAATGAACTTCCAGTATTGTAAAAGTTGTGTTGAGTAAAAATTGCGAAAAACTACAAAATGAGTTTTATTAAGGGTAAGTTGAAATTTATAATAAAATATCTACATTTTATAAAAATATTTTTTTGTTCTTTAAAGAAGGTCTTAAACAGCTATAATTAATATTCTTAAAAGCATTGTAAAGCATTTCTATTTTGATATATACATTTAATTCACTGAGCAGTCAATTTGACTGCTGTTGGCAGTTCTAGGTAGGGAGAAAGCTCGGCACTTCTATAGTTAACTTCTGGTCATTTAAAAAAAAAAAAAAAAACAGATCATTAGTTTTAAAAAGTTTTATAACATGTACAATGTTATTTGGATGACAATATACACATTTTAAGACTTCATCAGCATCCTTTATTAAAATGTCAGAATATTACGCTAATACATGTAATGTTCTAAAACTAGTTTATGTGACAGATGCAGATCAAGCACAGATATATGTCACTTCTGAAAAAAATGAACTCAATTTTTTAGGCAATAAATTTCCCACTATTGGTCTTATTTTGAAAATTCATCTTTCTGTTTGCCAAGAAATTGAAAAATGATGTCCGGAGATGATTGCTTATATGCTCTGTACTTACACAATAAAATGAACCCGGTAATATAGAAATAATCCTCATACTGAAGTAAAAGGATATAAGAAGTGGTGTTGCTATACGAATCATGTGAATTTAAGAGAAATGTTGAAATAAATATTTGATAGGCCATTTGAAAATGAACAATTATTTAAATGGACAAGGACTACAAATTTTACTGACTTATATGTTTCTTTTGTTAATACGACTACTATTCCTTTATGTTTTTGCAAAAAAACAGAAATGCTCTGTACTTATGCGATAGCAAAATGAACAGAGTAATCTAGAAATAATCCTCATACTGATGCAAAAAGAAAAAGGATATAAGGATATAAGAAGTGGTGTTGCTATGTTCTTCAGCTGCACTGTTGTTGTTTTTTTCCTTAATCTGATATGTTTATATCATAAGTACTTCCTGCTCTGCTTCATGAATTGTAATACCTGCAGCCTTATAAAGTCCCAATTAGAAAACTAAAAAGATAATAATTTCATAAAGAATGCTTAAAATTGGTTAATTTTCCCCCTAACACACACACAATATTTTTTTTTTTTTTTTCAAATTAAAAAAATTCATGGGAATATATCAATGAAGTGAAATGAAAATGCATGTGGATGTGCACATTGCATATATATATATATCACATACAAATACAGGATGAGACTGAAAGTTACTGACAAACATAAGAGGGACCAAAAAATTATAATTTCCACATTCAAATTACTGATGTCCAAAATAATAGTGTAGGAACTACAGTGTAAGAGTAATCACACTATGGGAAGTACTCGCTTACAGCTGAGCTCAAGAGACTGTCCCTTTCAGATGAATGCATGTTTGTGTGTGCATAAATAATAGTCACACCTAAAGGTAATATGAAACTACTATGTGACACAAATAAAAACCTCATTCAACTCATACTATAATGAGCTAGACACCTTTGCTGTCCCATTGCAGAATTTTATGTTAAAAGGCTTCTATTGTGACTGGAGAATTTGAATACTGTAGGTTGCTGTCCAAATGTTTCGGATTCCATCCTCAGGATCTCCAATCTGGTTGATATAGAATCTCAAATAATTAATAAGACATTGTTTGGGACTGATTCAGACTCAGCATGGGATTAAAAATTAAATTAAAAAGCACTAACAAATGACCAAGCTATCACAGTTTAATTTTAAATTAATATGTTGCTAACAGATATATATAATTATGTTTGTTACATGCTAAAAAAATCATTAATTTGTACTTCATGTTTTTGCAAAAATGTAAATAATCAAAGCAAAGTCGGAATTCTTTTTATTCTTTGTGACACTAATAATTAAAAAGTTTACATTTAAAACATCTAACTAGGAATGTAAAGACTGTTGTTGAATTCAAAAAACATAAAACAAAACTCTTCTGTTAAGTTACAAGCATTAAACACTGATAATAATAGGCAATAATGTAATAAATGAGTTTCTACAACTTAGTATTTCAAATTCAAAGAATTAGTTACTTTTTTCAACAAAAATATTGAATTAGCATAGAATTTACAAAATTAGGAAATATGTAATTAAAATTTAATAAAAAATGTAAAATAAACAATCTAAAAATTATATAATTAAAGTAGAAGGGATTAATACAGAAATCATACATTCTTGAAGGAGCAGACTGCCAAAAAGTTTGAAATCCCATGTTTAGAGACTTTGAAATGCTGTTTTAGATTCTTAATTGCTTTTAGACCTGCTTTACAGAGGTAAGAAATAACTATAATTAACACTCCATTAAAATATATACAGATAATTAGATAAACTTACAGTCATTTTCATTAGGTAAGAAGACATAATCGTTTTCATAGTATGCTCGTTGAAATATCAGTGACCTAGATGGATTCATTTGATTTTCAAGGTAATCAGATTTGCTATGGAGAAAAATTAGGGAAAAAATTTAGATTTTTTATATAATCTGAAATTAGAGAAATATTTTCATTACATTTATTATCCATTTCATTACTTTATAATTTGTATTTTCAAGTTAACAACAGCCAGAACTCTAAATAGTTATTAATGCTGAATTATGCTACTTAGTTTTCTTGTCGGCGATTTCAGCATAATGTATTACTTCATTTAAAATATGTGTACGTCGCAAACTATAATAAATATAAAAAGTCCAAACTAGAAAATAAATAAAAAGGGAAAAAGATAAAAAAAAGGGGGGACCAACTGTATTAATATCTCAAATTTTATATTTCACTGTGGCTATGCTTTTTGTTAAAGGAAGTTATTATATGTTTGTAACAAACTGTTTGTAACATTTCTGTAGAATTTTTAGAAAAATAATTGACCAATTGATCATGGAACAACTACAAGGGATATCTGCCTAAGGGTAAGGATGACTTTGTGAAAGACTTTTTTAGGGAAATTGGCTCATTTTTATGTTAATTGTCAGAAAATCTTGTATCCAACTCATTTGTATAAATTTGTTGGAATATGATTTTAATGAAACAAAGAACTGACAAAATGTTTGCTAAACTAGCTTTTTTTTTGCAGGGTATACATTATATTTAAAATTAAATTTTTATTACTGTCCTAATGTATTTATTACTACATACAACTTGAAAATTCTCTATTAAATCAAAAGAAATTTTAATGTACTTTGACAATCGGTTTTATACTGCAAATAGTGTCAACTACAGTGTATATTAAAATGCAGTTTTAGATTAACATGAATTCCAAAACATGAAAAACAAACTTATAGTGTTTGTCATTTAATTTAAGTCACTTCCGTTCCAAATGCATTGGTGTTTATTAAGTGAATAACTTTAACAGAAAGCAATTTGTTTAATTCTAAATTTCCATAATAGCTTTAAACTACTTAAGTAAAATAATAACCATTGACTACTAAATTAATTACTGTATAAATAATACTAAAACTATTTATGCAAATTTTAGATTCATTGTAAATAACTTTAAAAAATATATTTATGATTACATTTTTATAACATTTTATCTCTTACAAACAACTATTCTATCTGTGTTTGTTTCATATTTTTCAGTTCATTTCTCAATTTATATCAACTGCTTGTAGATTTTTTAAACGACACTTCCCATTTCAAGAATTTTTCTTAGAATTTGCATTGCTTTTCTAGATTTAACTGATAATGGCATGTCATAATTTTTTTCTGTATCATTTTCGCTGCCAGTTTCTGCAGTATTTTTAACGGTTTCATAGTTATAATTTATACATGCTGGCTCAATATTGTTGCGAATTGACACATATTTTAAAAATGAATCTTAATATTTTAAAAATGAATCTTAATATTTTAAAAATGAATCTTAATATTTTAAAAATGAATCATAACTTCCCTCACTGATACCTGAAGCATTAGCATAATAGTCTGCAATTCCTTTCAGGCTTTTCTGCTTTTTTGGAAACAGTTTTCATTGACTTGAGAGATTAACTCTTTGCATTGCCCATAATATGCATGACCTCTAGAGAAATATCGATTTACTTTTCTTGGAGAGCTTGTATTTTCACAAAATTATTTTTTTTTCATCATTTATTAAACATCTTTCTGTAATGACATTTGAAAGCCTTTATTCAAAGCCCAAGATTAAAGGCTGAATCTCAGAAGTTCTATTTTGGGAAAGAGACACTAATATCTTTCAGAAAAAGGTCAAAGATAAGTGTGTGTGATGCATATTTATCTAATTTGTAAAGTTATTCTTTTCATTTTTCTGTTCACTGTCCCATTTCAAAAGAAAACAGTAAAAATAATATTTACTATCCATGAGTTTTTATTACTATGATCAGTTAGAAGTAAATTCTCGACTCATTTCAAAAACAGATTTCTTTGCTTTTATCAATAATCAGTGCTATTTTCCTAATTATTTGGTCCACACTGCATGCTAATAACACAATGACTTCCTTCACTTTCTTAAAACAACTGCTGTTTCTCTTTTAAATATTAATGTGTGTTCTGTCAATGTTATGTAATACAGTCCACTTTTATCTGTATAATAAATTTCATGTGCTTGTATTGCTTTAGCAACCTGAGTGAAGCATCTTATATCCAGTTATAAACTGCATGATTATCCACTTCTTCTTTCTCACCAGGCTATTTCTGATGAACAACATTGTATTTCACTTTCTCCAAACAATACTGATAGAAACTTTTCTCCTAAAATTTAGTGAATTAGTGAAAAAGGCTCTAGAAAAAATATCTTTACAGTTTTATAATTTAAAACCACTCAGCAGCTTAAGGGTAATAAGAATAAATAAACTAAGGAAATTTGTTGATTGAAATTCTTCAAAAAATTGTAATTCTAAAAGGTGTGAGATATTAATAAATACATTAATGGAAAATAATGTAATAATAGAAGCAAAAAGATTATCACTGAAGAAACATGCACTCAATTAATGAGACTAAGCCTTTCAGTTTGCTGTTTTTGTTTTTTTGCTTGAGATGTTTGCATTTTTTATTAGTTTTTCAGCAATTATTACTCCTTGTTTAAGTAAAATACACAATGCTGTTGGGGAAATTCTCAGTTTAAATGTAGTTTTTCTCTGGCTGCAATTACGAAGAACATTAGAAGTCTTTTAATAATTTTTCTTTTCTGTTCAGGTTTAAGTCTTCTCACTTGGAATTTTGACGTGTTACATATTAAGCACAGAACAAATTTTTTTTTTTTTAATTTCTTCCAGTGATTTATTCAAATTTCAAAATTTATATAAACATTTTTATCATGCAGCGCTCAATATCAGCATCAAAATTGTTTATGAAGGGAATGTTTATGAAGATCCATTGCTTTAGTTCATTTTGCCCGTATATCCCAAATGTCTGGCTGTAATGATACACTGAATATCATGGATGAAGCAAAAGGATTTGCTTATGCAGCAACATAATGGCTGTATCTGTATGTGACAGCACTGCAGTATCAGACTGTTTCCTATATTATGCATCACCATATCAGTCTGGCATTAAGGCATGGAGTATCATAAAGTCAGACTATATTCCAACCAGACTCATGCCTTGAAAGCAAGCCTTGTACACTCAGCAGCTCTCAGCTTTTCTCTAAAATTCTAGACCTCTACCGTTTCTCACTTTCAGGAGATATTTGGGAACAGTTACTTACACAACAAGTACATGTGGCATATGACCTCTAACAATAATTCCTAATCGCTTTATACTTCAAATAGTGTCAACTAATAATAAAATAGTGTCAACTGGATTGCCATTATGTTCCCATTCTTTTTTATATATAACCGAATGATTTGGTGTACAATTCATTGATTTTGTCACTTATTGAGCACTGCTGTTATGTCATAGATATGGCAGATGAATTTCGGCAAAGTACAGATAGATCACATAGAATAATATATCTTAAGGATGCATTCAGCATCTCTTCCTCTCTCCACTAGGCTATATAGCAGCAGTATCTGCCTATAATGATTACACAAAGTACTGATTTCTTTAAATTTTCATACACTGAAATGAAATTACAACTTATTTACTTCGTCCTGGAACCAAGAATTATCTGTATGATATGAACAGCTCTTGCCTTTCATACTTTTGCATCTTTAATGATCAATAATCATTAAATAAATAATTATTGATCAGTAAAGATGAAAAAGATCATAAAATAAATGCTATCCAAAAAGTAAAGATGAAAAAGATCATAAAATAAATGCTATCCAAAAAGTAAAAATTAAAAATATATTATAAGTTTATTCTTATCATTTAACTCAGATTCAAAAGAACTAGAAATTAAATTTCCATCTAAATTTGTGGTGGCAGATTAAAATGTTTTGCTTGCCAAAATGATAAAAATTGTAACATATCACATTACATATTATAAGTTTTATAAAAAAAGCCAGTCAAAAAATAAATAATTTTTATAAATAAATATAAAATATAAGATATGTAATAAAACTAAGAGCACATTTCATCAAATGGTAACATATTAATTTTGAAATAACTGATCACAAAATGTAAAATATAAATTAAAATTCACACAAAGTTTAATAGGAAAGTCATGTACTGAACAGAACTGATTATATGCCAATATCCTCATGAATGCGAAACTGACTCATAAATGATTGTTTTGCCATCCCTGATCTGAACAAAAATCACTCAAGTTATAATTTAAACACAATTTGGTTAAAAAGAAATGAAACAAGAAAGCAAACCCAATACTTTTTTAGCAATGTATGTGAATTATTTTCTTGCTACCTACCTAGCCGGAAAGATACGGGTTAAACCACCTTCAGATTGAACAAATGTGGCAACTACATTGCTCCTAAATAGAAGGAAAAAAATTAGTTTATAGACAGATGATATAAAATGCTTTTTTTTTTTTAATTTAAAAACCAACAAATTTAATTTTTAAGAAAAGTTTTTTTTCCCTTTTTTCTTTTTTCTTTTTCTTTTTTTTTTTTTTTTTTTTTTTTTTTTTTTCTAATATATATTTGAAAATACACAAACATGTACAAGATGAAATGCATACCTTCTACCATCCTGCCATTCAGATTGCCAGTAATGTATTATATCACCAGTTTTGCGAATATCCCACACAAGCCTTTCTAATAAGTGCATTTTACCTTAAAAAGAGACATGATTCTTTAAATTAAAACTTAATCATTAATTATATTCTATTTGCAATTATTCAACACTTACATGAGTCTGGACTATGCTTGACTGTATATGATAAGTTGCTTATTATTTCAGATATACTCAGTTCTAACACTGTTCCATGACAGTACTTCCTACGGGAACAAAAAGAATAAAATAAAAATAAATAAAAAATGTCATAAAAATTTCTAAGCACAAACGCTATATGATTATTCAACATACCATGGTGCAAGATGCATTCCTTGCATTTCATGGTCTTTTAAACTAAATTCTGTAAGAAATCGAAAAAAAATAAATTTCTATATGATTATGCAGGCATGACTGTGGAAAAGCATAAAAATAACAAATGAAACTACAACAAGTGGTGTAGCAAAATTTAATCAAAATTTTACATATTAACGGTTTGAGAAAAAATGTTTTATATTTATTGTTAAATCTCGTGATGCTGCAAATAAAAAAAATATTGCTACTTACAAACTTTCTCTCTGATCTTGAAAGTTGGTGGAGATCTCAACAAACATTCTGATGGAAGTTTGAAGGACTATGTCACATTTTATTGAGTTAATTAACATATATAATCTATTAATCCAGCAAGTAAAAATTTTAAATATCAGCTCAAAGTTGCACCAGTGGATGTTTAGGAGAAGCTTATTTTTATTTAGTTAAAACAGTTAACAGGTAAATTGGCTTATCTAGGATTAATCATGGTTAAAACCAAGGAAAAGATCTCATAAGTGTATTGTGAAATCAAGCTTATCCATCGATGGTGCAAAATCACATTGCTTTGTAACAGTTTTGTGGATGGTGGTGGTAGATGGTAGATGGAAAAATAAGTACAAACCGAAGTATTTAAATACATTTTAATAAAATAAACATTCAATTTCTTGCATTTGTTTTCCAAAGATTCTAGCTGATTGCACACACAAATAACTAAAAATAATAAGATAATCTTCACATCAGGTATTTCTAAACAGCAATTTAACAAAACATGTAATATTTGAAAGCCAACAAAGTTTGCTTTACAAAAAACAAATCAAAGTTCTAAATTGGATAAAAAAAAAATCTCAAATAGCATATAAAATATAATTTACAACTATTGTTGGCAGCTGTTTAATTTTGCTTTCTTAAGATTAGATTATGTTCAGTTGAATATAATCTCTGGATTCTGTCATATACATCCATCAAAAAAGAAACTGAACTTTTCCTTTACATTACAAAACAGAACAACCAGCCAAAGCATTATTTACATATTTACGATTTTCCAAGTATGGCAAATTTAAGAAATATTATTAAAATTAATTTTTGAGAAATAAAGATTCACCTCTTCCACAGAGAGGGGTGAAATACACTTATCGATTTGAATTTAAAGTGATTAAAAATTAAATAGAGAATTTTTTAAAATTAATAGCTTATGTTCAAAATTTTACTGGCAAAGTTCTGACAATCGATAAAGCAGTAAAATTATCACTAAGGCAAATATATATCTGAACATTACTCATTAGTACATTTAACTCATTAGTACATTTAAAGTAGAAATGAGAATCCTTGGCATAGTAATTTGAATTAGATCACCAAAAAAATCATAGAAATAAATTTTGTTTCCTTTTATTTTCCATACAGACTATCTGGAAAAGAAAATCAAGAAGTTTACCCAGAGGTTGTTAGAAATTGCATATGTTTCAATTGATTCTTACGTTCTAGCTATTGTCTCTCAACTTCAAAGAAAAGTTTCAATATATATAATAAGAAGCATTCCTTTCTCAGATATTTAGAATTAATAATAAAGTATCATATGTTAATACACAGTAACACAGTTTGAAAGCAAAATTGGTTCTAGATCAAAATGATAATTTACCGAAAATAATAAATTACCAAACTTGATTTATTCAAAATATTCTATACATAGCTTTGCATGACTATGCATAGAATCAGGTAGTTACAAGAATATAATTTTCATCTTTCATCACAGCTTTTTGGATGATGGGTACACACAAAAACAAGAGTTTTTTTTAGAAAAAGAACTAGTCTCATATATTTAAATCCAGTTAACAAGAATAAAGTTATAGGATTCTCCACTGTATAATTCTAAGTTACCGTTGAAAGTGAAGAATCTTAAGAACTGATAAACGAATAATCACTTCAGTTCGTATGACAGGAAACAAGAAAATAGAAGGGTAATATAACCCTTTATTCACATAAAATTTAACAGAACTTCGTCTCGGAGTTGTACAATAAAGTCAACACTTGGGCTTGAACTTAAGAGACTAAGAATCAAACTAAACTAATCTTAACCAAAGAGATATAGCTGAAGCTTTCAAAATTTTAACAGAGTTGGCCCCTTAATGCTAATTAACTGCGAAGCTATCAAAGTCCTAAAGTACGGGAGCATAATAATAGCTTACGAGAGAATAGCCTAAAAAGGTGGACACAAGCAGCCAGAATATCTGGAATCTCTCTCACTAAGACAGCAGAACTTTGCGGTTAAATACCGCTCTTCCTCATTAGCATTCAGACGTGATTCTAAAACTACGTTCTGGCCGGAATTGGTAAGTTGAAATTAAGAAGTGATAGGAAAGGAAGTTTAACTAAAAATTTAACTGTTAATAAAATTAACATAATCCTTACAATGCAATGAACAACAAATGCATTTTTGCTATTCATCATGTTAACCTGCTTGTTAAAACTCTCAAATGATACCTTTATAAAAAGGGGCATTATCATGAAGTAAAAATTCGCTGCTCTCTGTTCAATATTGTGATTTCATGTGATTTTCCTTTGATATTTAGGTTTCAGAACATTTAAGTAAAAAAAGCAGTAATACATTTCAACATTTGGAAATTAATTCCAATCAACAAATCCTTTGCTCTCACAGAAGATAATAAGAATTCTGTTGATGTTTGACCACAGATCTATCTAGGTTTTAAAGATTTTGTCAGTTTTCAGTCATATTAGGCTATTTAATTTCAAAATCATATATATTTTTATGCTTATAGCACGATTATTGAAGATATTAGGACTTCTTTTAAAGGCAGAAATTATGCCATTTGATGAAGTAGATTCATTTTATATATTTAAAACAGCTATCCTGAAATATGACCTTTAAACAGGTTTTTAGAAAATTTTTCAGCACTTTCGCTTATGCCCATCTTTGGTTTCAACATTTTGTAGCACTGCATTTTTTCATATTTTTACAATACATGAGATAATAGCCAATACATGTATACCTATATCATAGTGTACACATGGATTCACAACTATGTGCAGGGTCGTTCCTAGTAGGGGTGCAGTCTGTAAAAGTACGCAGGCGGTGAATCAAATCAGGGGCGGCCCAACTCTCATGATATCATGACTAAATATTTTTAATTCATTAAATTCATTGTAATTACTTGTCATATATAAGTACTTTTTATACAATTTGTCATATGTAAGTACTTTTTATACAATCTGTCATATGTAAGTACTTAGTAAATATGAAATAAAAATTTTATTAATCCTTGGGCATTTTCTTTAAATTTGGAGATGGCAATCTTAGGAAAATATGTAGGCAGCCAATGGCCTAGGAACAGCCCTGGCTATGCATACACATGTTTAATAGCCAATGCATGCACATACAACACACTTGTTTATGTATACATGGATTCACACACTTTACATTTAACCATCATTTCACTGATATAATACCAGCAATACAGATTTTGATTTTTCTAATAAAGTTTCTTGTTCATTATAAAATACTCTTTTGTTATTATTTCTGAAGAGATCAATACTTATCAGCCAATCAGATAGCCAAACAAACATGTTCTGGTGATTCACAATGCCACCAATGAGTTGCCGACTTTTCATAGGAGTATTTAAATTTCCAATTTTAATTAGTAAATATGATTATTTCAAATTACAACACTGTGTGCATATAATGAGATTGGTTTTTCATCTGGGTACAATCACAAGTAGTATACAGTCAAACCCAGCTATAACAAACTTCAAAGACTACAATTTGGTTCGCTATAACTGGTGGTTAACCCATCTGATGAAAAAAATGGATTATCTCTTAAAATATGGAAAAATTGACTGGTGAATAGAACAAAAAACTGGTTAATATTCTCACATCTAGTAAAAGAAGTGAATATGAAAACCAGTTTAAAAAAATTATATTAAAATTTAATTACAAATATTTTTATATGCATTTATTTAATTTGTTGATGAAAATTTGTTTTGAGCAATGCACAGAAAGTCAATAACATTTTTAAAGAATATTCTATGATTTGCAAAAGACCTAAAAATGCAAAATCCCATTTGAAGGGCATTTAAATTGAAACAAAATAAGCATATGAAATATCATTCCTTGTATAATGAATCAACTATTCAACAACAACATTTCACTGTGCAGCCTCACACTCATAATATTTATGACTTCCTCTGTCCCTAAATATGAAAAATTTCCATTATAATATCAGCATTGAACACAACTTTTTCTAACAAACTCAAATAAGGAACTGGAATTAATCAGAGAACTCATTCACGTTCTTTAGTTCAATGGTCCTGTACACTACTACATAGTATCCTAAGATTTGTTTATTATGTCTTCTTTATTCTAGAATTCAGTTCATACCTGCATTGCATAGCCTTTATTCAGAACACAGCAAACAGTGGAGGTGAAGATAAAAAAGAAAAGTAATGTAAAGGCTTTATTTATGGATGGAATATGGAACCTAACATCCTGAAAGTGGATGACTTGAAGGATTAGTTTTTTTTTTTTTTTTTTTTTTGTTGTTGTTGTTGTTGTTGTTGCTGTTTGTGTGTTTGTTTTGTCAAAACTTGCAGAAATTCTGAAAAGATATGAAAAATACAAAAAATGTTTCAATCGAAGATATTCATGCAATTTGTTACATTCGATTTTCATACCTTAGGAGGTTCGCTACAGAAATGTAAAATAATATTAAATGTAATAACTGGACAGAACAAACGGTTTTACTATTTTTATCTTGGAGTTTCTTGTAAAGCAGGCTCATTATAGCAGGGTTTCACTGCATGTAAGAAGGAAGATAATTAGAGTTCTTACCCTCATCAAAATCAATCCCTTTGGCAATCAAGTAATGTGTGCAATTGTTTGGTAGAACAACTGCTAATCTGTTAATATATAATAATGAATAAAACATAATAAAATTAAATTACTCTAATAAGATCTCCAAGCATAAATGTAATGAAAATCTTAAAGATATTATCTTTTAAAGTCAAATTAAATTAAACTTAAGCTAAATGAATTTTTATTTAATTATTAATTAAAGAAAATGTACGCAAAAATTTAAAAAGTAGCTAATTATAATTTAGCAGATTACTACTACCAAATATTCATATGGTAACACTTAGATTCATTTCTTTGCAGTAGCAACTCTGTAGTGTTTACAGAAAAGAAAAAGAAAGCAGTGGAAAGAATCCAAAATTGTACATAAACTAATAAGAATAATAAAATTCTGATTTCAACATATTCACAGAAATGAAAATGTACCAATTTAAGATTCCATACATATTGCAAACATTAAAAAATCGTAACTAATACAAAATATTTAGCAAACTAAAAATAAATATTTGTATCCCATAAAAACACATTACTATATGATAACTAAGAAGCCAACAAACAAATAAATCATCTAGAAAATAAAGCAGCAAAATATATCTTGATGTCAGCATGCAAAATGTTGAGAAAATAATATCAAAAGGTAAATAACAGAACATAATCTTATTTTTTTTTAATTCAAGTTGGCATTTACGCACTTTTTTGTAACAAATTTGAAGAAAAATATTTATCTATTTAGCACTAAATTATATTACTAAATTAACAAGCTTCCTCTAATCAAATAATAAAATTGTATGCAATTTGAAACAAAATAATTTTATTTATTTACTATCAGTGGATTTTCTACAGAATCCTCAAATACAACTACATTATTTTGTTCAGCATTTCTTATTTGAATTAATACCAAAATTTCAATTATAAGATACAAAAGCTCATTTGAGAATATCTTCAGATTTAAATGCAAAAAGTAAAAAAATGCAAATATATCTCTCTTACGAAAATGAAGTCAGGTTCACAGGAGTGAAATAATATTCCATTTGATGCTGAACTATGTGTTTCTACATAAACAGAAACTGAATATCAATTTATCTAGGTAATAAGAAGTTTATCTTGCATACATAAAATAAGCAAATCTTCAGATTATACATACTTATTAGAAATACTAAAATACTCACTCCATCAGACATTTTCAGAAGGCTGACAAAGGATCTTTTTGATGTTTCTAAATTTATCATAGCCCTCCGTAGCTAGAAAATTAATAAATAATTATATTTTCACATTATATTTTAATTCCTCATATATACTGAAACCCCAATATATTTACAGTTACTTAGATAACAATGATGAATTAAAAAAGAAAGAAAATGTTCCACATTCATATTTCAAAATCAGATGTGAAGTGATAAAATCTGTAACTTTTATAAAATATATTAATATGCAGAGAAAAATATCAATTAATGACTCCTGAGTTAAAATTAACAAAATATCACTGAGTCATGATTAATATACAGAGGCTGTTCGCACATTTTTTAGATGATTTTGCTCGTCTGCTACTCGATAGTTTTGTTTTCATGCAAAATGGCTCTTTTACAGAAGCAATGGATGGACGACTTATGTTTGTGTTCTTTCCAAAGAAAATTACTACTATCTAGTTATTAAAAAAATGCTGTGAAAGTAATGGCTTGTCAATGTATAAAGCTGCGATAGGTAATCTTATCAACAAGAAAGAGGAAAAACTTCAAAGTTTGGCTTCAAGTGGAAAAATTGTTCAAAATATATATGCAAGGAAAAAACGGAACATTTCGAATGTTGCAAAAGTAAGACCTTTAACGTTAGAAGAAAATCTGCAATGTCAAAGGACAGTTGCAAAATCATTTAAATGCTCAGTGTAAACTGTGAACAAAGTGATTAATGTTGATTTAAATCTTTAAAAAAAAATTTAAAAAAAAAAACATAATGTGCATCGTCTTTTTTCACGACATATCGCGGAACGTGTTGTAGAATTTTTATGGGAAATATTTAGCCTGACAAAAATAGAAAGATGTTTTAAAACAGGTGAATCTTTAATGTATTTAAATTCAATAAAAAGAGATCCATTTATTATCATAAAAGAAGACAAAAGATCTTAAAATGGTTCAAAGAATCTAAAGAAAGTTTTTCAAAGGCATTTATGATTTTTGCTGGTTTTTGATAGAAGGGCAAATTAAAAATAAATGGAGTGGAGAAAAATGCTAAGATCAACTCCACATATTATTAAAAACTAAACTCAGTGGCACAACAGCCCTAGTGGAACATGGCCTGCAGTGCCCCAAAATTTGCTTTCTTGATCTTAGGCCCCGGAGTGCATCAATATATGCTGTGGACAAGTGATCAGCTTCTCATAGAACCTCCTGTGTTTAGTCCCCAAGTGAGCTTGGTACTCATTTTATCGACCCACTCAAGGGATGAAAGGCTGAATCAACCTTGCCCAGCAAAGGGATCGACCCTGACCAGCCAGGACCTGTGATGCAGCTGTGCGATGTGCTATCCACAGCGCCACTAGGCCCCCCACATATTATTAGGAATGTATTTTACATAATTTTTAAATATGAAATAACTCTTCTTTACCCACAGTGCCATTAGTCAGTAGAACTATATAGAAACAAAACAAGCAACGACACATCAAAATACACTGCTAATTTTTTGAAATAAACAGAATAAGAAACAGCTATCAAAGCCATACCCTTCACTCATACTCCTACTAAATCTCCTGACGTAGCAACCATGTAATTTGCACTTCTGCACTTTTAGAAAGTGGACTGTCCAGGTATCAACCTACAGCCTGGATCTTTGGAAAGATGTTCAAGATGAATGGGATAAAATACCTCTTCCAATACTAAAAGGCTTTATTGCCTTGGAAATTACGGTGTGAATTGATAGTGATTGATAAGGGTTGTCAAACAGAACATTTGAAACACAAAACTTTTAGGTAAAATATCTCTTTAAACACAATGAAAATCATCTAAAAAATGTGCAGCCTCTGTAGATGATATTTTAACCTTTGAGACGAGCATTATTTATGGAATCCCCCCAATAAAAAGCTTTTTTATATAGATTTAAACACACATTGAACATTTTTTTATTATTAAAAATATAAGTATTTGATAACTTATAACAACACAATTATCCATATTGTCTGAAAGAAGGTAAGTATTTTTTCTATTTAGCAATACACTTAAAATAAGGAGTAAGTAAACTGCACTGTACAATTAAAATGAAATGTGTGCCTCAAAATAAATAAATAAAATAAGTTATACTCATCAAAAGAGATCACTTCCACTTTTATAAAAGTTATACTTTCTATAATAAAATATGATTTTTAATTAAGGTATTCAAAGCAGATCATCATTTTTTTTTCCTCTCCTTTCAAATTAGACATTTTGCAGTTACAACAATTAGCACTAATCAGTTTTACTTACTAACAACAAATGATTAAATTTTTATACTTAAAATCCAAATTTATTACATTTAATTATAACTTTTTATAATTTAAAATATAATATTAATGATTAAATTAAGTTAAGGATATTAACTTATTAATTTCATGATTTAAAATGTCAGTGTTTATAACATTAGTTCAGATATTATTGAGCTCATGGGTTTCGAAGTATAAATACATATATTTAACCTAAAATTCATTCAGATTGTCTATTTGGCTTTGATTACTATTTTAATATCAAAACCCACTGAGACCAATTTTATTCATTTTTCATTTAATGAAGTGCCACTAAAACAATTCTTTTATTCACTGATAGCAAAGGAGCGATAGCAAAGTTTGTAGCAAAGAACGTAAAAAATCGGCAAATTTAGATATAGTTTTTACATAATGTTAAATAACTCCTGTATACAAGAATCAAGGACAAAATATTATTATGCCTCTTAGCTTAAATAATTTTTTTAAATAGCCAAAGACCAAATTATTCAGCCCAAACTCCAAAAATGCTTAAAATTGAAGTTTTAGCTATAACAAAATATTTATATTTGAAGCACATGTGGACCTGAGACTTTCATTAGGATTTGTGTGAGACATTAGTAAATCATGCCATATGAGCAGAAGAATTTGCAGGATGGAAAACCTTCCTGTGTAGATGATCTACACTCTTATCATCCATTTACATCAATCACAAAGAAAAATTATTGCCAAATTTTAAAAACTGCAATGTCAAATAACTATGTGCATTTCATTTCATAGCACAGATATAAAAATATTGCACGATGATAAATGTCTCAACTTGATAGGTACCTGCAAAACTAATCGATGAACAGAAAATAGGCCATGCAAGAATTTTGGAGTTAACAATGTTTCAGATATGGCAGAGTTTTATACAGACTTGGGAGAAAAAAAAAAAAAAAAAAAAAAACAGGTACATTACATTAATCTTGAGAACTGAAACAGCAGCATGAATAGGAAAATAATATTTCTGTGAGTAAGAAGATTTTTTGCTTCATCATCATCCAAATTTATGATTAGTATTTTTTCTGCAATGGCCAAAGGTCTCTTAACAATTCATCATTTTTAAATGAAAAAAATAACCACAGAGGTTATTAAAAATAGTGAACACAGGAAAACTGCATGAAAAAATAAACAAATGGGTAAGCTGCCAAAAGGAATTTCTTACAACAATCATGATGCACATACACACCTCTACGATGACAATTGTTATAACTGCCACAAAATTCTCAACAGTTACTTAAAGTGACTTTTTCTTATTTAAAATCTTAAGTAAAAGTCTTCCTCGATGAGTTTGTTTGTGATCATAATATCATGAATTCCATGACTGGTTTTACTGAGCATCAGGGAAAGTGTTTCTCAAAGGAATAACCTTTTCATTGTTCCTCACAGCTGTTGCTCTAATTACAGATTTCTGTGTTAAGTCACAATGACAGAATTCAGTTTAAAAAACTTAGTTTTAAGACAAAAATTATGCTTATTTTTCTGTCCAAAACAAAGACATTCATAATGATCTGAGATTTTGCTTCTGAATACTCCTTATTTTTGATGAATATATAAAGTAAAACTTTGACTTCATTTCACAACATCTGCCACTAAGCAAAAGCTTATATGGCATAACAATTCTTAATCTAACAATCCTCAAATGAGCTTAAAAATTTGCTATCTTTAGGCAGTCAATATAATAAGCTTTCAGAGTAAAAATGGAAGTATTTGAAATCAAAATCGACACATACACTCATAATGCATGTTCCTTTAAATTCTTTACTTAGCCTCAGTGATAAGACAAATAATCAGTGATAATATTTAATTATGCATTTAACAGTTCATAATAAAAGGCCAAGAGCAAAATTTCTATCCTATTTTTAAGTCTCATTAACTTTTAATAAATTTCTATTTAACTCTACATAGTCCCATAAAAATCATTAATTTTCAAAGCACTTCAAGCTATAAACTGTACTGCATATTTTTTTAGTAACACCAAAAGAAACCTACATTTCTCTTTTATTGCTGTAAGAAATTTAATTCAGTTATAAGACATTATTTGAAGTTTATCCTTGTTTTATATAAAAGTAAAATTCAATATTATTTTATTCATGACTTTAATAATTTTTATATTTTTAAGCCATGATGCAGAAGGGCCTTCAGCTTGAAAACACTAGTGAAAAATTAAAGTATTAAAAAAATAAAAACAAGTGTTATATATATGAAATCATTTTTTCTTGGTTCCATAAAAAGCATATCACTGCACATCTATTATGACTAAGGATATGTTTACATCAATTATCAGTTTCAAGGCATGCATGAAGATGAGCATATTTCTTAAAAAGGAATATTAGAACCACATTATAACCTCTGGTTGTTACAATATTATTGCAGAAATTTGAATAGATATCTTTGATCTTTAAATTGAAGAGGTACACAAACAAGAGAAATATTGCCTCTCTTTCTAATGAGAAGAGATACAGGCAATCCAATACACACTGCTGGCCATTAAAATTGCAACACCATGAAAGAAAGAGAATATAAAAAAGATATTTATTGCATGCAAACAATATGGCACAAAGACAAAATGATTAAATTTGTGAGCATTTTGGATGTTTACAAAGGTGCGAAGTTAATAGAAACAGCTGTCACCCCTGGCAGCTAAAACAGCTCTTACCCCATTAGGCATGGAGTCAAACTGGACTTGCATAATAGAAATGGGCAACTCATTCCATGCTGCTTCAAGTCTCTGCCATACTTCATCAACCATATTAACTGGAGAGGAGTGGTGGCCCAGTCTCTCAGCAACCATGGCCAGATGTTTTCAATGTTTTCTCGAGTCTGTGTAGGTCAGGGCAGCAGTCGAATAACCTGTGTGTCGAGGAAGGTCAGAACACTACATGCAATATGTGGTCTTGCATTATCTTGTTGGAACATAGCGTTTGGGGACCTCGAAGATAGAGCACAACCACTGGACATAAGATGTCAGAAATGTACCTATCTGCTATCAAATTACTATCAATCCAATCTAGAGATGTACGCGTCGTGCACCCGTCGTGCAACCAATGGCTGCCAAACTATCACACCAGATGCAGGGCCCCTATGTTGATATCGAATTCAAGTTGGCAGCGTGTGGTCTCCTCGGACAACTCCAAACACATATACATCAGAATAATGCACACAGAATCGGGACTCATTTGAAAAGGTGACATTGTGCCCCTCCTGTGCGCAGCTTTGTCTTCTGGCGCACCAGAGTTGTTGTCTCTCTCTGTGCTTGCATTGTCAAGGGAAGCCAAAGTAATGGTCACCCTGCTGATAGTCTATGCTGCTGCAAACATCAACACACCTTACAAGCAGATACTGAACGTGCTGCAAACATACCCAGTTCCTGACTAACGGTCTGTGAAGTGGTCATATGATTTTGCAGGGCTGACCTCGCATTATGTCTGTCCTCTCTGGCATTAGTCATGGGAGGGTGTTGAGATTCTGCATGTGTTCAAAATGACCCTCAGCAATTCATTGATTCCATATTCGCATGACAGTGGTTGAATGTCAACCAGTGCATTTGGCGATATCATGGAACAATAAACTACACTTTCGATAGGCAATGATCCTGCCTCTATCGAATTTTGAAACTTGCTAGTAAGCATTTCTTCTTCTTATTCGAGGCATAACATGATATTCAAAGCAAACTCCGACCTCACAAAGCACTTTCCGAATGAGAAATCCACTACATAACTTTTCTTTTATGCAATTCTTCAGATATTATATCTACCTCCTGCATCGTCTAAATGGGCTGAAATACTAATCATTTGTATGTCCCAACTTCTTTCTTTCATGTGATGTTCAAGTTCATCACAGATTATTCCTTTCTGATGTTGCAATTTTAATGGCCAGCAGTTCTTATTTATGTTTGAAAACATAAATCTTCTGAATTGTTACACAGATATCCATACATGATTTTGGACTTAACATTCTAAATATATGAAGAAACAGTAAATTAAAGTTAAGATATGCCTTAAAACATGAACACCTGTTGATAAAATATAATTAAAAAGAATAAACAAACATAAAGAAGGAAGGCATACTTCTCCTTTAGCTTCACTTTCAATTTCAACATCTAGAAAGTCAAGATGAGGAGGATCATCTATATATTCAAACTGAAATAAAGATCACAGTAAAAAGCTTCTTTATAAACACGTACAAAATTTCTTTTATTTTCACTTATTTGATTTAAAATTCTTTGTTTATTCTTCAACTGGAAAAAAAAAATGCATGTACCTCTGTTTTTAAATTAGGATGGAAGACAATATAGCCATTCTGATTTATGCAAAATGAATAACCACCAGGTCCAATCTGAAATAAAATTTTAAATTTAACTAAAATACAATAATCAAACATTTTACCAATGTTCATATATAAATTTATGAAAAGTAATGTGAAAAAAGTTAAAGCAAACACACAAAAACAAAAAGCAACCAAAACACTGTTTGAAAAAATGAAACTCATTATAACTAAGTTTGTGGATCTGTATATCTACATAACTTGCACAGAAGAAAGCTGAAACATTTTTATTACAATAATAAAAATTACTACAATATAATCAACATTTTACATGTTTGATTATATTTTAATCCATAAAAACTTGACAAATTTAGGATGCTAATTTGTAAAATTACTTAATGTACATTTACATATGGTAAAAAAAACTTTGAGCAAACAACATCATAGCAAGATCAAAATTTTATTTTTATTGTTGAAACAATCTGAATTTGTATGCATTAATTTTTATGTATAATGAAAAGCTCACTGATTTATGTGATTTTCTTTTCACAAAATAACCCAGAACTTGAATATCAGTAATAAGCAAGTATAAATATCACAATTTGCATAAAAATAAGCATTACATATAAACTATATTTCAGTGAATAAAACTAATAGATTACTGAAACATGATATATGGCTTTGTTTAATTACAGTCAAATGCATCTATTGCAAAGCTCCTTTATAACAGAAATCTGTTTTAATTATGTCACTTTTTACTCTGCAAAGAAATGTAAGAATTTTTCTTGCAGTATTATGGTAAAATAAAAGTTCACCAGAAATACAAATAAAAATAAATTACAGTATCACCCTTGAAACATGATAGTAAATTAAAATTCAAGAGTTAGGTATAATTAAAATTAAAGTAAATGCGATAGTTGTAAAAATAAGAAAAAAAATAAAAGTAATAATAAAAAAAATTTTAATTAAAAACATTTTTGAAAAGTAAAGATTTAGAGATATAAACTATTGTATATGTGTGTCCAGTAGTGGTCCTAGAAAAAACCTGCCAAACATTTAAAGTGTAATTCAAATCCAATCCAATTTTCAAATTAATGATGACATTATACAGCATTGTGTATTAAAGAAAAACCAAAAATTTAACATATGGTCACAATCATGATTAGTAAGAGGGGCTGAGGGCAGCATAAAAAAACATATTTTATTTAAATCATCCTAATTAAATGAATATGTTGTTAGATATTTTAACATATAATACAGATGAGAACTCCCAGTAGATAAAGTTTATGTTTAAGGATTTCTAAACATTTATATGGAAAAGAAAAAAAGATTTACTATATTTCCTATTTCATTTTGACGTAGTTGTGCAAAAAAATATTAATTACTTACTTATGGTTTCCTAGGGACTAATTTTTGAATAGCTGGAATCATCTCAAATAGTAATTTACATGGTTAGGAGGGAGGAAGTAATCAGTATTTAGCTCAGATGTCAAGATGATTCGTGAATTTTTCTCTAAACAATATATATTTGGAAGAGGCCACAAACAGCATGGTCTGTAATAGAACTTTCAATGAAAACTTACAAAAAGCTGCCCTTGGAGGAATTCGGGAAAAGCTACACTGTCTGGACTAAGGCTCCGATTAGGGAAAGATTAGAGATAGAATAAAGGTGATGACTCGTTTCAAAGAGGAACATCTTACTGTAGCAGATTCATGGGAGGTGAGCTGGTAGGATTTCTAAAGCTGGAATTTCTAGATGCTGAGCCTCCTCATAGAATTCTGGTGAACTATCAGTGACAACGCAATCTAACACAGCTGCACCTTTCTTGCAAAAGTAACAGTTGTGAAAATCAGAAGAAATGCTGCTCTCTCAAGCTTGCATACAGGCTTCAAAGGATGAAGGCTGCCACATTTCAGACTACACGCGAAAAGATGTGAGGAATTTCAGCACAAACTCCAAAACCAAATCAATCCACATTTGTACTTTTCATACATTTCAACACTTTTCGTCTTTAATGCCAATCATCCCCCTCCAAGAAAACAAAAGTAACCCTTTTCCCATCAAAATCTCCTCTGCAGAAAACAAATAAAATATCTAGTCAGAAAGCTGATTTTTGAAGCATGGAAAATCTTGGCCTTTTTAATGGAAAAATAAACTTAACTGCAAATAATTTATCTACCTATTATCTTATATTAACATATATAGATTCACCAGAAAGACAAAATTTTTCTGCACACCCTGTATCAATTTTAAGTTCAAAAATCAACAATTTGCATTTCTAAATTCTAATCATACTAAAAAATTACTTAAGATGTCTGTCTCTTTCAACCAGGAAAATCTTAGAAGCTAAAAAAGGTGAGTGTTGGACTTCTCAAAAAAAAAAAAAAAAAAAACTAAGATTACTAAAGTAAACTACTATTACTAAAGTAAACTAAGTAAACGTCTGAGATGTAAGTAAATGTTAATAATACTGTGAAGCACTTAATTGTATGCTTTGCTAATGAATATGCACTAGGCAATTGTGGTTATTATGAAAAGGTGAAATTTCAAATACAATTGTTTCAATTACAATTATTACAGACATTATTTAATTTTGTAATAATGCTAATTAAATATATGAATTAAAAAAATGCAAAAATTAGTGCATAAGCATACTAAGTAGTTCAGAGTAAGATTTATACTTAATTTATAGTAGACACTCATTCACACATACGATCACTCGAACACACTCGACAGCCATGGAGATAACGAATAAGCTAGCCTAAAGTTGCTTAGTTGCCAATATTTCTTCCCGTGCCAAAGGTACACCATCAAGCATGCACAGTAAGCAAAATTCGCTTAACACTGTTCAACTCAATGTGCGGTCTGCCATTACGCTATCGGGATGGATACAAAAATGTTGGTATGCACGCGCCTGTATATGTAAGTGTGTATATACATGCATACGTATATATATATATATATATATATATAAGAAGAAGAAATATTGTAGTGAGCTTGCCAAAAAGTTTCAATTTCAATTATATATATATATATATGTGTGTGTGTGCATACATGAACAAATATATCCATTATGCATTCATACACAGACATATTTTTTAATCTGGTAGCAATAACAAAACAGTACCAAGCTGTCATAGGTTTGGTGTACTTAAAATTCCTTCTATAGTTGGGAATGGATAGTCATTAACTTTTAATTTCTACAAGTACTGGAAAAAGGTACTAAAAATAAAATATATATATATATAATTTGTTTAAAAAAATTAGACTTGATTTGTTTTAAATGAAAATTAGGAACTTCAAGAGTAAAAATCTAAGTACTTCGATAGAGTTTCAACAATGAATTAACAAAATTAGGTAAAAAAAGCAGTGTCTAAAAATAAACCTCATATGATGGTTCAAATTCTAGCATCTCTTGAAGTGCGACATCAACACCCATTACTCCAACCATTGACTGATTCTGAAAAATATTTAATTATTACTCATAAAAACATAACATATTTAATGAATTAAGATTTTAGATTTTAAAATGAACATACTACATGTATTTTAATATGAATGCATATACTGTTTATACATTTTATATAAAGTGTATACACGTGCTTTATACTCATTTACATAATTATTTAAAATAATCATTTTCAGAAATATGTACAATGTCCTGAAAAATGTTTCTAAGAACTATCAACTTATAAAATTGTGTACCTACTAGTTCTGTAATTACATATTTATGAACACATTGAAAAGCAATATAAATATATTCTAAAGTCTAATTTTTCAATTTAATGAAAATAAATAAAGCTTGATACTTACTCCATTCACTTCACTTGTGTTAAACACAGGTAAAGTAATTGTTGTCATCATCCCAAGACCCTAAAAAGAATATTTTTTATATATATATTTTTAAACTAAAAAATCAGAATATAAAAAAACAAACATAACTTATGAAATAGTTAACACATAAAAATAAATTATAGCTCAATGTTTAAATTTGTTTTTGACATTAATCTGAAATTGAAATTATTTTTAAGATATCAAGTGCTTAAAATAAACTACCCAGATTTTTCCCAAAATGATATTGTTTTAGTGATTAAAAGAGAGGGGAATTTTTCTTTGAATCATACTCAAATTTCAAAGAATTAATAGTCTTAACTGAGATTCTCAATTACTTATACACTACAGTAAAACTACTCACATGGATCCAAAGGTTACAAATGGTTTTCGGTCTTCTAAGAAGGTGTCTTGTAAAATATGACTGTCAATTAATACACATCAAAACAAGATCCAATGGTTACAATGTCAATGTTTATTTCTGGTCTTAGAAATAATGCCCACTTTCAGAGGTGATTATCATGAGAAGTTTCATTGTATTTATTATTGAAATATACACTATGATGCTGAAACTGTCCCAGTAAGCAAAGTTCATTAATTAAGGTTACAGATTCAAATACCCTTGACTAGTCTAACTATGGGAGGGGGAACTCTTTGCTCCATTTTACTAAATTTTAATTTTATGAATGGACAACTGTGCAATTTTTTTTTACATTTCATATTTTTCTAAATTCAGTATTTCCCTGAATTTATTACCAAATACTTATTTTTCATTAAACTATTTTCTTTCAGGAATTAACTTTTCATTCCATAAGAATTTCACATATAATTTAATTTCACTTTCATTTTCCAAGTATGAGATGCAGATGGAATAGAAATTTGGAATTCTTTCAAAACGTAGTCATTTTTATGACCACATACGTTCCCTTAAACATATATCTAAAAAACATGATTATTGAAACACTAACAAATTTCATGTCACACACTCTGAAAATCCAGAAATATTTACAAAATTAGGGACATTTTTCAGGACATATCTTGAAGTGAGACTGAAGGATGTCTGATTATTGTACATAAAATACATTTCAAGATACTTACAGAAAAGTAGTATTAACACTAGAGGTACAAACTGAGACGAACTGGTTAAATAGTTGATTCCCGACTTAACTAGCAAGTTTTAGGACATAACTAGCCAATTTCAGAGCTGTAGAATATCGTTATTAATTCATCAGCTGCCAAAAGGACAATTAACATAGCTGAGGGTTTAATGTTCAGAGTGAGATGAAAGGAAGAACAGAGAAAAAGAACACAATGTTAGAATCACAATTGTATAGCAATTAAAAAGTATCTGATATGAAAATATACTAATTGTCTTATAATAAATGCACTAAAATTGAAAGTGAAAACAACAACTAAAATGCCAAAACTAAGCAAAATTCATTCACAGATTTTAGAGAAATGTTATACCCATTTTAAGACAACCTAATACACGGATCTCTTTATCAAAAAGCAAAGTATTTTGATCTATTATGCCCAGTTCCTTTTAGGTAGTATAATATAAATAAAGAAAATGCCAGAGTTGCAGTACTATTGAGAAAAATTGACACATATAAAGATTAGAGATGTTTGGGTGTAAAGGAATGTAATTGAACTAATTAACTAAAATTGAAGGAGTTGGATGAAAATGAAAAGCTTTAAAGAAATATAATTCACAGAGTTTTCAGAAAATTTTAGCAAAGGAAAATAAGCAAAATAATGACCAGCGAAACAAGCAAAAAGGGATTAACAATTATTAGCGCTGGAATATTTATTGTTTTCTTTTCTTGAGCTGAGATTCATGCTTTTAAATGTGCAATTTTAAAATACTCTTAAATTGATTGAAAAAGGTTAAATCCCACTTATAAGAAATGACATAAATTATCTAGACATTTTAATCTCATGTAGAAACTTTACAGACTGAAATATGAATTTTATTCTTTGAAAATAAAATATCTATATCAGGTTAGAAATACAGCAAATTAGTTAAAAACATTAAAAGAAAACTTTAATTTCTTTTTCTTTTATCCTCTCTATACTTTTTAATTGTATTTATTATAATATTTAAAAAAATCTTGTTTTTATATTTATTATGAATTTTAAATATCAAGTTTTTTCTCAATTTTCAAAGAGAAATGAAAGAAAGTTGCAATATTTTATCCAATTAAGAATAATTTTATTCTGATTAATTTAGTTTAATAGTCAAAAACATCATAATTAATTAAATACAATGAAAAGTTAACAGTTTCACTGTCTTAATGAGATTTTCTTAACTGATCGGCCAGAGTTTTTCTTCAAACTCAACAGTATACATCTAAATATGTATAGAACAGAACATAACCAGCAGCAATAAATTTAAGCTGAAAAGTATCACGGAATGAAATTGTTCGTTTTGTATTAAACATATAAATAAAACATTCTCTTTCTGGCAATAAAGAATTTATTATTTATTTATATTGAAAATAAATATATAAAATGAAAGAAAATATGTAACATATTTCCATTGACAAATGTTTAAGACTACATATACTGAGAGTCTGAAATGAATAAAAACTACTATTTTTTTGTTCAAAAACAATTACTTTAGAACCTTTTTTAGTTATTGAGGTCATTAATTTTCTACACTGATTTCTATAATATTCTTTATATAGCTTCTGCTGTACAGTAATATTTATTGAGATCTATTAGTTCAAAATATTGTACTTTATTTTTCCCTAAGTTCCATAAATTATTTTTTGAGTTTACAGTCAAGTGATTGTGACAGTCACAATAGCAAAGAAACACTTTCTTTCGAAGAAAATGTTTTACAACCTGAGGGCTATGTTTTGGATCATTTTGTAAAATAAAACTGTCACTTATCAATGTAGACATTATTAGCATCATTATTGGAATGCCTGCACGTTAAATTGATGTATAATTTCTTTAATGTTAGTTTAATATGACAGTGAGAAAAACATATCCACGCCATTAAATGAACATCTCATATTTAACTATTAGTCAAATCCATTGTTACTTCAAAGCTTTACCAGTTCAACTTGTCACACAATATATCCATCAGATGGCATTGAAATTTGATGCTTCGGAAGTAGCAATTTTTTGCTAATTCTAATACATCCATTTTTATGGGCTTTAGCAAATGCTACTTCAATTCTTGACTTTTGAAAGAGAGCATAAATTCTTTTATGTCGTCTTCATAAATGAAACTCCATTCTAGTTTTGATTTGAATGCTGTTATACTAGCACTTATTTTTGGTGCAAAATAAACTGTAAAATGAAAACAATCCTTTACATTAAAGCAATGGCTTCTATGATCCCTTTTGGCACTGTTCTTCATGAACTATAACATTTTGCTCAATTAAAACATAAATTTAGTTTTCAAAAACTTATACTACCATGCTTGCTGGTATCTCTCGCCTTTTCAGTAGATGTTTTATTTTGTTTCCAAAACACTACAACATTTTCTCTTTCACTTGGCCAGGATTCCAATATTTATGCATGTTTTTGTCCTGCATTAATGAACTTAAACTGATGGAATGCATGCAATAAATTGGTTTTAATTTTGCTATGTCAAATCATAGAAAGAATTTACTACAAGTTATTAGCTAGATCAATCATCTTAACCCATTTACTGCTGATCATGCATAGGCATATCATCTAACAGCCAACACATGCCAGCAAGTTTGTGTTCCTACATTAATCAGCTTCTTGTGAAGTTTTGAATAGCTATGTTGGCAGCAAATGTATTAAACAAATGTTGATATACACAAACAAAAAGAAAGAAACATTCTAGCATCCTTCAAGTTCGGAGGGTCAAACATTAATCTATACCACATGAAAAAAACAAAATAAGTGAAAAGAAGATACTCATCTTAATATATGAACGAATCAGATAAATAATTCATCATCTTATGCATATTACTATATCTACTTTTAATTGATACAAACTTAAGTCACAATTAAAAATATAAGAGCAATTTTATACTAATTTTACTCTTTTCAGAGCTATTATCCCACATTTGAAATATATGCATATAAATTACATTAATTTCAGTGTATACAAAAACAGCCTGCTTCATCAAAATGAAGGTGATATTAAAATCTATAACAGAAGATAGCATTTTAATTACTAATTTTTCTGAAATTATGCGCAGTACATGTTTAAAAAATTTGCCAGAAGTATGATACTAGCCAGCTTGACTAACAATGAAACCTGATTCTGTTTTGTTTGTGGCTTATTCCACCCAATCAACAGTGATATTAGATCAAGTCCATGAACCCGTGGACTACTATTTTGCGCAAAAATAGTAGAACAATTCCAAGATCGAATTGTTATGGATATATTGACAAGATATGGGCAGGAATGGCTTGGATCAAGTTGCATTTCAAGCATAACGGATACACTTCAACAGCCGATTAATAACGTCTATTGCTTGACACAGTTAGGGCAGCACAAGAGTGGTTACCAACATATCACTCATGTGAAAGGGCCTTTCTTCAAGGGGAATTTGTTTCTAACTGGACCCGCAAGGCAAATTCAAAAAAAGCAAGACGGCCACCATCAGTAAAATCCTTAAGGCTGCCCTCCCTGGCTAGTTCATATGCTGTCTAATTATCACAAAACTTTACATGTGAAGGCACCCATTGAAAAAATATATTGTTATGGGTACATGATCAACCCAAATGCTGGACAATATTCACAGCAGTTCTGTGTCCATGTTTCCTTCACTCAACCAACTGCTGTATAGAACTCCAGCTATTGCTCAGAATCCAGATATCAGTGCTAACTCTCTCATTGACACAATAATTCAAAGCCTCCTCAATAGCAATCAGTTCTATCCGAAAAATGGAGGAGTAGACATCACCGGGGATTTTGTGAACAGCCTCCAAAGCCAGCTGTCTAAGATATTTAGGGTGCAGCACACCTTTGTTAGTAAACTCCAAACAGCAGGCCAAAGATTATCAAAGAACACATTAAATTTATTTAAAGAAAGAAATGAAAA